AATAATAATTAAAATAATGAAATAATAAATTAATAACTTTAGTTAATAACCTTAATAGGAACAAACATAATAATAAGCACCTCAACTAAATAATTAATAGTGGTACAAAATAGTAACTGATAATAAAAGATAAGTATAAAAGTATTTAATGTTTTATAATAATTTTAGTATAATACCTATCGGCCCAAAAAAAAATTAATACATAATAACATTAACCTACTATATAATCTTTTAACCAAGATGGTGTCTTGCGAGTACGTTTGTTAATGTTGTTTACCTCTGTGTCTATGGCTGGTGTAGGAGAATTGATTTGGGTGTTGTCTGTGAGGGAAGTTGGAGGTGATTGTTGATTGTTATCCTCAAATTGAATCTCGCCTGGATCATCCAAATTTGGTCTGTATTGAGCTGGTTTAAGTGATTGTACATTAACTATTCTGGAATGTTTTTTGTTTGTTGCATCGGCCCTGGTAATTTTATAACAAACTTTTCCAACTGGGTGTTCAATAACAAATGGTCCTTTAAAATTTGGTGTAAGTTTTGTGTCATTTGTAGACTGCCAGTTATACCATACTCGTTGACCTGGCTGGAAGTTGTGTTGGCTTCTATGTTGATCGAATCGTTTTTTGTTTAATTTGTGATTGTCTTTTAAGTTTTCAATTGCTATACCTCTACTTTCTGCAAGTAAGTCTAGTTGATCCATTCTTGACAGGTCTGACTGTACTGAACCTAGTGCCATATCCATAGTAGAAAGTTTTGGTTCATAACCATGTAATAAGTAGAAAGGTGAAAACTTTGTGGTGCTCTGTTGAGATGTGTTTATAGCTAATATTAGGTTTGGTAGCTTAATGTCCCAATCATCTGGGTGCTCTAATGAGAATTTAGATAAAACTGAGATCATGGTTGCGTTAGAACGTTCTACCAGTCCGTTGGCTTGTGGGGTATATGGTGGACATAGTGAATGTTGTATTTCATATTTTTCTAAATAAAGTTTAAACTTATAACTTGTAAATGAAGAACCATTATCCGAAATATATGTAACTGGTAGTCCATAGTGATTTATGATATCATTTTCAAGTGTATGAATGATATTGTCTGTGGCAGTAGTACATGTAGGTCTAGCTAAAAGAAATCTGGTAGCGTGACAGATGTGAGCTAATATGTAACAATTGCCCGCTTTAGTAGTTGGGAGTGAAAGGTGATCTGCTGAGATGACTTCAAAAGGAACTTCAGGTATGGGTCTCTCACCTAACATACCATATGCTGATGTGGTTCTTCTGTTGACTTGTTGACAAGACTTACATCCTCGAACATAAAGGGCGCAGTCTTTTCTCATGGAACTCCACCAATAGCGTGCTTTAATCCTGGATAAAGTTTTCTTATTATCAAAATGACCTGTGTTGTCATGACAATGTTGTAAAACTGTGTTGCGAAAAGAAAATGGAATGACAATTTTACTTACTTCAAAACCATTTTCTATATTGACATGAACTAGGATGTTATTTTCATATTTATACATACGTTTTATTTGTAGAATATGAACTGTGTTATTTGTACTCTTAAGTTTTTTATTGATTTGTTGGCAGAAGGAGTCAGCTTGTTGGGCATGTACTAATTTATCGTTTTGAGAATTTATGATTGCCAAACAACACTGATTTTCATCGTTAACAGGTTGAGGGTATCTTGAGAGATGGTCTGCAATAATGTTTAGTTTACCAGCTCTGTAGATAGGTTCAAAGTCGAATGCTGCTAAGTCAACAACATATCTGGCAAACTTTCTGTTAAGCTTTGCTTTATTGACTATGTAAGCTGTGGAATAATTATCCGTTATGAGTTTAAAGGTTTGACCGACCAAATAAAGGCGAAATTTTTCGGTTATAGCCCAATGTACCGCTGTAACCTCTAACTCATTGCTATGGTAACGTTTTTCTGGATCTTTAAGGGATCTGCTTGCGTATTCTATTATACATATAGATCCATCATGTATTTGGGAGAGACAAGCACCTAATCCTTCATGACTTGCGTCGGTTTCTACGGTAGTTGGAACGTTTTGACGAAAGGCTGCAAGAACTGGGTTAGAAGTAATTGCTTATTTTAACTTAACAAAAGCATGATGTTCGTCATCTGATAATTGAATTTTATAATTAGAAGATTTCTTACTTGATACTGGTTTGTTCTTCAACATATTGGTTAAGGGTCTTGCAATTGATGCAAAGTGATTTATATACCTTCGTAATGCATTGGCAAATCCTAAAAAACTTCTAAGTTCCTGAAGTGTACTTAATGTTTGGTACCTTGTGACTGCTTGGGCACGTTCAGGGTCTGGCCTGTCTCCTTTCTCGTCTAATATTCTGCCTAAAATCTTTATTTCCTGTGCGGCAAAATTGCACTTGTTTTTAGTAAATTTGAGACTGTATTTCCTTGTGGCTTCAAAAAGTAACTGTAGAAAATTCAAGTGGTCTTCAAATGAATCATGTCCTGCTGCTAAATCATCATAGTACTTTGCCAGTCCTAATTTTAGTAAATCACCATAAGCAATAGAAATTGCTCTAGCTAAAAGAGCTGGTGCATTAGCAAGTCCAAATATAACTCTGCAAAATTCGATATGGTAATCAGGAGTCACTGCAGCAGTTTTAAAAATATCATTTTCTTTAATTTTAAAATTGTTAAAAGCATGTTTGATATCTACCAACGATTTGAATTTTTTACCAGCTATTTTACTGATCATCAAGTCCATTTGATCTATTGGAAATGGGTCTTTTACTGTAATTGGATTTATAGTTCTTGAGTAGTCGACGACCAATCGTTTCGGGGTTGACTCATGAAATGGCTGTTCTACAACAAAGGCAGGTGCTGCATAAGGCGACGTTGACATGCGACACACTCCTTGTGATATCCATTTTTCTACTTGATTTCTCTTAAATGTTCTGTCTGGATCGGTTGCTTTATAAGGTTTACATTTAATAGGCTTGTCATTGGTCAATAAAATCTCCATCTCAATGTCAGGAAATTCTCCAAGTTCAGCTTCAGGCGTTGAAAAAATGTCCTCATATGAGTTAATTAGAGATTCAAGTTTCTGGGTTTGGTCTTGATTGAGAAATGATTGATCTACTTTTGTGGTTTCTATATCAGATATTTTTGTAACAAGTGGTCTGTTGTTAAATCTGGATTGTACAACACATCCAACAAATGCAGTTTTGGATTTTACACAACCGAATTCTTGAATAGACGATGGTGTTGTTATACATACAGCACCATTTGGTTCAATAGTAATTGTTGCCTGTACTGCTTTTTGCCAATCACGACCTAGAATCATCGCAATAGGTAATTTATCACATAGACCTACTTTTGGCATAACATAATCAATGTTTCCGACTTGTATTCTGAGACTTATCCAACCACTTGGTGTGCAGTTACCCTCAGGCGTAGCGTATGATCCATCTTGCCATGGAAATATGGGTATGTTATCTGGAACAA